TTGCTTGGAGTGCATCCTGTTGCTGAACCTAGACCTGACCAACTGCAGCAAGCCCAGATCATAACACTGCCTCCACATGCTTGTACAGTACACTAGGCATGATGGGTGCATCACTTCATCTGCCTCTCTTCTTACCCTGATGCACCATCACTCTGGAACAAGGTCCATCTGGACTCATCAGACCAGTTTTTGATAATGCGTTGGACAGTTCTTAACCCAGTTTTAGTTGTTTCTGCAATCTCCTTAGATGTTGTCTCTGCTTGATGCATGTTGAGGATCTGAACCATCTCAAACAGACTAACATCTTTTCTACGACCACCAGATGTGTCTTTCCACATGTTTGTTTAGGAAATGAGAAGCGACTCATTGCATCAGTTGGAGTTAAATAACTTATTGCCAGCTGAAAGATGATTGCCTATGCAGTAATCATCCAACTGGAGGCTTCTACCTATTTGCTTAGTTTATTCCAGTTGGCAACTTTCTTTTTAGCCATTTCATATTGCCTTGTTAACAATGTCTCTTATATTCATTATTACATTTGTCTACTGTACTCACCTTCCTTTAATCTGCTTTCATCTTCCTCCCTCAGACTGTCTTGTTAAGATAATTGTCAGTAAAAAGGAAATAGTTATCTAAATATGATCAATTTTTGCAGATATGAAGCACATTGATAGAGTGAACTGAAAAGGCTATTCATGATTACTGTTTTGGAGCTGGATTTTGGCAAAAACACAAAAAATGTTTTGTCCTAGACCAAAAAACTGTTGGTGCAGAATTTAATAATATCCTTTATGACATTACCACGGAGAGGCTAGCTGTTGAGAAACTTTCTATCTTATTTTATTTATTTTTTGTTTATGAGTCTAAAAATTGGTGGAATGAACATCTGCTCAGATCTATTGAGATATTTATGAAAAACAGATAAGGAAAATTATGGAAGGAAACCAAAAAAAAAAAAATAATGAAGTAAAACACAACAGAAGCTGTTTGAGGAGCAACCAACGAGAAAAAGAAAGTGTTGTATTCTCTGACTCAGCCAGAGCTGGACAATGGTCTTCCGAGGCCCTTTAGCAGATAGAGAATTGTGGTCCCCACTCTAAGCCTATACTCCAATGGCGCAGCACCATTATGATCTTTTATACTATATTTATATTAATCTCTATTCTAGTCTATTAGCATTCTGAAGGTGAGAAAATGAGGCAGTTTACTGAAAAACAAGATATTGCTTTACATTCACAAACTGCTTTCTTCGAGTTTATAATTTAAAGACAATTGGAATCATTGGTAATGAGACACTATGGTAAATAAAAAAGCAGGAACTTAGGTATTTTTTGGCCATTTCTGTCAGAGAAGAAATTTTTATGACAGTCAGTAGTTAAAAACTAAGGATACTTCTTGATTTTTGTTCATTTAATGAACAGGGTGGAGTGCTTTTATCAATGTCATTACATTATTGTCCTGGATTCACGACTGTTTAGGTGATATTGACAGTGATAAAACATACACACACATAAGTGTATCAAACCTATAAAATATGTCAAAGAAGCTTGGAAGAGAAAGAGAAGGAGAAGTTTAACCAGAAACTAGTCTACATGAGAATATGACTATGGTTGGTTGGAGTGCTGATCCAGTCCATTTCCCTATAGGTTAATTACACAGAGGTTGGAAATTATTTAGTCTTTGCTCCACGTCTGTCAGGGGCTTAGAAGCTTACAACCAGATTTTTTCTGGATCGGTCAGGGATATAAAGGTTTTTGGACACTAACATCATGACAATAAAGGCAAACTAAAAAATTGCCTTATTTGTAGCTCATTTTCTGCTTAGCCTCCCTGAAGGTGATCAGGTATGATTTTCAGACCCCAGCTCCATCGTCCTTTAGTACTGCAGCACAGTAGACCTGCAGACCAGGGTTAAGATGCCTCACATTCATGCAAATCTTTCAGGCCTATAAAAATGGAAGGTGAAAGGAGGCATGTTAAGCAAAACTCATCTTCTGCATCCTTTTGTGTAGCCATGTGGGTCTCTAACACTCCAAATCTGAAAAAAAAAAAAAAAAAAAAATCAAGCTGGATACACAAGAAGGATGGGTATGGGCACAACCAGCTCCAACTTGTTTTCTTAAAATTACAGAGCCCTAAAACAGCTCATTCTGGTACTGAAAACTGTCAAGAATAAAACAGCTGGAATCACTTAATGTGAGGGATGTGAACTATAATTTTTTAAAGATGTAAAACGTAAGAATGAAGTAAGTATGACATCCTGTGGTAAAATTTGGTTACTGCAATCACTTTCTCGCTGCAGTTCCATGAGTTTCATGGCGTTGCCAGTTACGGATCAGCACCAGAAGATTCTAAATGACAAGCATAAATGAGTCATACAGTAAGTTGAGAGGAGAAATACATTTTCATATTTGGTATTAGCACTCTTGGGTGTTTTACGGTAGGGCGCCCTTACTTATTATGGTATTTTTTTCTCCAGCATTGGAGGAAGTGTGGGTGTTTGCTGTCTTGCTGTTAGCTTGTTGTTATAGATCTGAACAACCCATTAAAGGAAGTAAAATGCTGGGACTGACTCATTATTCACTTCACACACATTGAATATACTGTAATTTAGTATTTCTTAATAGAAAAATTTGCTTGAGATATTTTCCATGCCAGCTGTTCTAATTCATTATTAGCATTATTAGCTCAATGTTAGCCTCTAGCCTGTTTCACCAGATATTAGAGTAAACAAAAAGATAGTGTGGCTTCTTCAGGGTACAAATTCTGGGTCGCTCATCTTTAGAGACCGCTTCCGGTCAGTAACAAGATGGCGCCTGTGCTTGACTTAGCCTCGGTCACTGGCCACTTTTTCAAACTTTTCTCCACTAACCTCCTCTTTTCCACCTTGCTCCTGCCTGCGATCCTCTTCAGTAGTGTCCCTGCTACCATCTCCTATGATCACCAGACTCTTTTGTCCTTCAGTTCGTTCACGATCGCCCAAGATGCACCGAGGACGTACCTCCCTGTTTGGTTATCTGAGTGGTGCATTGGCCCGGAGCCAAACAATGATTCCAACCATTGCGCCTCCAGCAATGTTTATCCGGCCCGGGGAAAACGTCGGAGGAAAAGAGGTAAACGAGCAGGAATCCAGGTGAGAATAAGACTTCTCTTAAAGTGTGGTTTATCTAGTAAACATTGGCATGAGCTTCTAGCTTCTTATCCTTTGTTTGGCGACTTGAGTGCCAGTTCCGCATTCCCGCCACGCCGCGTTGCAACGCGGTTTCTCCATCCAAGATTTTTAAGGTCGGTTTATCCTCATTCTTCAGTGGTTTCTCCTCCTGTTCCCTCCATAAGTGGTTTTTATAAACTTTTATGAACTTCAGGGTTCATTTCAAGATCCTGGTTCTGGTCTATAGGGCCTTACATGGACAAGCACCATCTTACATTGGTGATCTTCTTAGTCCCTACACCCCCAGCAGGTCCCTGAGGTCCAGTGACCAAAGCCTACTGGTTGTGCAGCACCAGGCTAAAGACCAAAGGTGACAGATCATTTGCTGCTGTGGCCCCCAGACTCTGGAACTCTCTCTCTCTCTCTCTCTGAGCCTGAGATCAGTGGACTCAGTGGTCTTTAAAAAGCAGCTGAAGACTCACTTGTTCAAGCTGGCTTTTGTATGACCTTCTTCACCACTCTCTCTTTATTCTGCCCTCCCCACCTATTCCGCCTTCCTCAGGATCCACTGATTTCCCTCTTTCCTATTCACTCTCTCTCTCTTTCTTTACATTTTTTAATCACAATTGTCTATTTTTTGCTCATTTTAAATATATTTTTAACCATTTTATAAATTCTTTTTTGTATTTTTTTTTTGTGAAGCGCCTCGTGATTTTTATCTTGAGACGCGCTATAGAAATGACATTTTCTTCTTTTCTTCTTTACCGGCTTCTGTTCTTCAACTCTGGAACTTTTTGCCTGCCGGTGATGTTGAATTACAAATATTGGTGCTGCAGTGTCAGCTTGTTGCAGATTCGGCAACCTCACAAACTCACTAATTGTAAACAGTAACTACATCCATTTTTTTTAAAGTTTTTTAAAAGGAGAAAAACTGACAACTCCCCAGCCGACAGGAAATTAAATCTGTTCCAACAGGATTGAGATGGTAAATGGTAAATGGTAAATGTCCTGTATTTGATATAGCGCCTTCTAGAGTTCTTGAAACCCCCCAAGGCGCTTTACAACACAATCAGTCATTCACCCATTCACACACACATTCACACACTGGTGGGGATGAGCTACGATGATAGCCACAGCTGCCCTGGGGCGCACTGACAGAGGCGAGGCTGCCGAGCACTGGCGCCACCAGTCCCTCCGACCACCACCAGCAGGCAACGTGGGTTAAGTGCCTTGCCCAAGGACACAACGACAGCGACAGACTGAGCGGGGCTCGAACCTGCAACCTTCCGATTACGGGGCGAGCACTTAACTCCTGTGCCACCGTCGCCCCATATTACTGTTTTGTGATTTTGGCACTGTAGAATTCTCACATATTGCTCCTTCAATCCATCTCTTCATTTGACAGCTTCTATGTTCCTTCTCATTTATTTTGTTCACCGCTTGATAAAGTTCCATCTTTTAATCCTACGTTCTTGCATTTGAAATAAAAAAAAACGTCTGCAGGTGAGAAAAAAAACATTAAACAGGTCAAGTCAAAGCGAGTGCGTTGATTTTTGGGATCTGCCCATATTCCTACAAATGAAGCCTTATTTTTTAAGAATTCCTTTTCCCTACTGAGATCAAACAATTCTTTATTTTAGACACCTAGAAAGAAAATAAATTCATTGACGTACACAATTTTGATTTGCCACTGAAACAAACAATGCACTGTTACTGTTAAGATCCCCCTACTGGTGTGGATAACCAATAGCAATGCTTAACTGGTTAGATTTTCTAGCTGATAAAATATATTTTCAGTATTTTTTTTTTAGAGTTTTTGTCTCATCAAGTGAAAACAACCACCATGGCATGATATCAAACATTGTATTAAAATCATGAGTTAACAAATACGTGACATATATGTGAGATAAACAGAGTTCGTTGATAGTGGACATTGTTTAGACATTCAGTGGTTTACACACACATTAATGATTTGGATTATAGTGAGAAAAATGAAAAGAAAAAAAATCACAATCTTAAGTCTCAGTGACTTAGTCCTTATCAACATATTCACAGTAAGTTAAAACCAAAATATACACACGTACTTGCTCCCTAACGGTACACTGGAAATTCTTTTGATGTTAAGAGTTCTACTTATTGTGTTTTTACATAAAATTAGTCATCTCATTTCTCTAGTATTTTTTATAGTTTTGACCTAAAAGAGCAATGTATAATCATTTACTTTCAGTCAAAACTAAAAGGAAACAGTTCATACAAATTTTACAGATTTCAAAGTGCAAGACTATGATGGAGGGGAGAAAAGTGCATGAGTCCTGCCTCACAAAATTCCATCGTGTCACTGTTTTAGGTAATCACACATCAAAACCATGCGGATACCGCGACCACACACCAGAACTTTTCACGTAAAATCTAAAAAAGAAAAAAATGTTCCAGCATGAAGATGTGATCACCTAGTGAAGCAATGCAAAGGTGCCTTTTGCCAAGCCACAGGCAGCAGTGTGGTACAATAACAAGAACATTTTCAAAAAATATATAGTGATACATATTGCTAGCAAACATGTAAAATTACTCAATTATAACTGCTTCTATAGCATTTAGTCAAATAACCAATGGTTTTACTTACGAGGTTTAGATACTTTTACAGCATTTTTTAAATTTATCATTATTTACCGGTCCTGTCGTTAATGACCAAATAAACCTCTGCTTGGGGGGCCGAGGCTGGAGATTTGAGGCATGTTATGAAAAAACGTAAGGGACTTGGCGCCACACACTGCTGTGTGTGGCTTTGTCTTCACCGACATTTGTCCGGCAGCAAGCACAGTGTGCAACAACACGACACATTTGGGTCACAAGTGCCATACATTTACATCCTCAGGCTCAATGTCTCTCTCTCACACACACTCACACACACAAACACACAGACACACACACACACACGCACGCACGCACGCGCACACACACACACACACACACACGAGTGGCAGTTCCGTTTACTAAACACATACACAACTTTTCAAAGCTCACCTGGAGCAGAAATTATTTTCACACAGAACAAAAAATGTATTTATATTATCACAATCCAGAGTCTTGATGCATGCAGTGCTTCTAGGGTTTTGTTCCAGGATTGGACATTATTAGTTTTTCAGAGTGTTAATATTGATGCATGTGTAGTTTTATAACCTCAAGGCTAACTAACTAATTTCACTCTTAGATGTGATATAAGACTATAGTTGACATCATTTTGGAACAAAAGTGAAATTATGTTATTCATCTTTGCTTCAGCTGACAAATTTAGTTTGTGTGGTTAGCCTTAACATTAAGTGTGTGTGTGTATTAGTGGATATTTATAGGGTAACACAAACAAAACAACTAGAGGTAAAGGGGAAAAAGCCTTGGCACTGATTTGGTATCATCACACTGACACAGACCAAGGAGTCTGTACAACAGAGTGTAAATAAATGCGTCAAGGATTGTGTTTCCTTTTATGTTTACTTCTTTTCCACATACTCCTTAAATCTTCATCCACCTCCTCCTCATCTTTCTCACTGTGTGGGAGAGCAGTCGTCCAGATCCAGCAGCTCCCTGACCAGTCTCTCTCCAAACTGCGCTCGGCTGTAGCGTTTGACCGTGTAGGCGTCGGACATCTTGTAGAGGATGTATGCGTTGTTGATGGCGATGCTGATGCTTAACCAGAACACCTGCTGCCAGGTCTTGTTGGGCTTATGGAAGATAAAATACCTGTGGGACAAAAAAATAGCAGCTTACAGCTAAGTTTTTTTTTTCTATCTAATGTCGGAGAACACTTCAGTTCTGGTTGATGTTGCACATACTTGCTGTACTTATCATCGTATTTGCAGATGTAGCTGAGGTGAGCTGCAAATGCCTCAACAGCCAAGGGACATGGGATTTCACCACTTTTCCTCTTAATGATCAGACCTGCCAAGAACACACAGACAACAAACATGAAGTGAGAAATAATTAGTTTTTTTTTGGACTTTGTTTCAGCACCGGCGATCACTTTGTCATGCCGACTGGGCTAGTACAGTAAACTGAAGGCTTTAAAAAGAGGTTTTTATTTTATTTTAATCATAGTTTTTCCTCCTTACCCCATGATTACCTGTATAAAACACCTGCAGTCATCATTACTTTGCAGAAAATGGCTTCTCAGGCAAAAGCATTAAATTTCCTCTAATTAAAACTCTTTTCTGATTGTTTGGGGCATCTAGAAAAAAATGTATGGAGAAGACAAGGTGAGCACTATACCATCAGTCACATGTCATGCCAACAGTAGGGGCTGCTTCTCAGTAAATGTTAACTCACGTATGGTTTCGCCTCAAAAACAGACACGAATACAGAACGGTAACTAAATATCCTCCCAGAGGAACTCCTCCAACCACCCATGAACATCATGGAGCACCGTCCCTTAAAGATAAAGCTGGGATCTGCAGCCTGTGGCTCTTGTACCATAGGAATGATAAACAAATTCATACTTTTATATATAGATATAATGGAAAAAAAAGGTTTATGCAGCTTACTCTTTGATGGAATAATTTCCAATAAAGGGGGTAGACTAATTAATGCTGTGTATTTTTAGAGCTATTCCTGTTTTTTATGATTTCTCACAAGCGTCAACATCCCATATTAAAAAATAAATCTACACTCATATCTGAGATCTGAATCTTTTTTTCAGAATCCTGACTTTAATCTCAGAATTCTGCCTTTCTTAGCAATCTTGATTTTAATCTAAAATGACTAACTCTGCCTCATCCTTCCATCACATAAATCTCATTTAACAGTTCTAAACAAGTTTTATTTGGGTGGAAAAAACAGCTCTTTGGATTGAAAGAGTGGCAGACCCCTGGGCTAAAGTGAAAGCATTAATATTTTGGTTCCATGAAAAGGGAACTCCTGACACCTGATTTCCATCCAGAACTTGTGGTCAATCTTTAAAAGGGGAGTGGACGGACGGGATGCTTACTGACGTGCCAATTTTAACTTACCGGTATGTTGTATTTCAAAATGTCAATAAAGCTTGTTTTTGCAGAAATTTGCAAGTCATGTGAATACACTTTTAAAATAAAGATCTTAATGTCTTTCCTTCTTTTGCACCTTGTTTTGTTGGGGAGTATGCATTGGAGAGGAACCTGAAGTGTCCCTTGTTGTACCAGCTGATCAGAGACATGCTTCCTTTCATCATCACACGGGACTGGCCCCGCTGTGCTGGTGTGGAGCTGCAGACCAGCATGCTTTGTGGTAAACCTGTGCAGTCACTTTTCCTGGTGCTCAACAAACCACAGCAGTAGATATCTGGAGTGGGATAAAGAAAGAATTCAAATTACTTCAATTTGTATGAAGATAAGACCTTTGTAGAATTTCAATTGACACTTTTATTAATGTTACAAAATGACCAAAAAGTGATTTCGCTGGAGCGGTTCGCAGCAGAGTGTGAAGCAGCTGGGATAAGGATCAGCTCCTTTAACCCTCCCACTGTCCTAATGGGTGTGACCCCGCGAGGAAAGTTGACCATTGAGCAGGGTTGATGGCTTATCCCTTGGGTCCACGTGGCAGGGGTGAGGAGTGAGCACCACCTCACCCCTGCCATGTGGACCTCAAGGGATAAACCATCAACCCTGCTCAATGGTCAACTTTCCTTGCGGGGTCACCCATAAAGAGAGTGGGAGGGTTTAGCTGAGACCATGGTCTTGGTAGAATGCCTTCTCTGGGTCAGAGATGAGGTCCTGCCTCAAGTGGAGGAGTTTAAGTATCTCAGGGTCTTGTTCACAATTGAGGGAAAGATGGAGCAGGGGATTGACAGGCTGATTGGTGCTGCATCCGCAGTGATGCGGGTGTTGTACCGGTCTGTCGTGGTGAAGAGAGAGCTGAGCCGGAAGGCAAAGCTGTCGTTTTACCGGTCGTTCTACGTTCCTACCCTCACCTATGGTCACGAGTTTTGGGTAGTGATTGAAAGAATGAGATCACGGATACAAGCGGCCAAAATTTTCTCCGCAGGGTTTCTGGGCTCTCCCTTAGATAGGGTGAAAGCTCGGTCATTCGAGAGGAGCTCGGAGTAGACTCCCTGCTCCTCCGCATCAAGAGGAGCCCGTTGAGGTGGCTCGGGCATCTAGTTAGGATGCCTTCCTGGTGAGGTTTTCCGGGCACACTCGTGAGGAGACCTAAAGAAAGACCCAGGACATGTTGGAGGGACTATGTCTCTCACCTGGCCAGGGAAAACCCTAAGATTTCCCCAAAAGAGCTGGCCCAAGTGGGTGGGGAGAGTGAAGTCTGGGCCTCTCGACTTAGGCTAGTGCCTGCGCAAGCCGACTCCGGGTAAGTGGATAAATATGGATGGATGCATGTTTACAAAACTATTCCACATCAGTCTGATCTTTAAATTGGAAAAAAAAAATGTTTGCCACTGCACAAAAAGAACAGACTCTTTATCTCTAAACAACAATTCCATCTCTTTATTTCTTACAATAATATGAGGATGCAAAACAATCGTGAGCAGATTTAAACTTCTTCCATCTGCGTCCACAGCCATTGCTGAAGAATAATGCAGGATAATTAAATGCTAATTAATTCTACAAGATAAAAATGCTGGACGTCTTCCCACAAAGAGGTTAATAGCTTCACTAAATTAGAATGGCAAATGACAATTTTATCTCTGGAATTTTCCTCTTTTACTTGGTAAACTCAAATTCCAGCTGTGCTTTTTGAGTCGAGGTCAACTCAGAAACCAAAATGAAAAACATCTTCTTCAGCTTCCACCGTTTTTAGACTCCTGACTTGAATGGATGATTGAAAAAGCAAATTTTTCTTTATTCTTTTCAAAAACATCATGATTTTTTCCTAATCAGCTCCCATCAGGTGTTTAATGGAGGCTTTTTTATTAATCATATCATAAAAATATATACAGGGTCAAATTTTCTTCAAAATACCACAAAATCTAAGCATAAATTCTAATTAGAAGACAAACACTGATGCAAAAGATGAAGCTACAAATAATTATGGGATGGAATAATCTATTTTTTCCTTTTCACAATGACTGTTCGATGTTCCCTTTGCTAAAGGAGATAAAAGGGAGAATCAAAATGTCCTTCTCTAGTATTTCGAGAGTGCAATCACCTCTTATTATACCACTCAGATTATTCTGAGTCATTTCACTCGATTATAATTTTTCTAAAGGAAATAATCAATCACCATGATCCTCAGTGATGAGAATAGCGATGTGAAATACTCTTTCATCTTTCTACTTCATTTTCTCTTCCTTCCTGGACATTTAGAGTCATTATCATGAACATTTCGGAAGAAAACAAAGAGGATCCACGGAAAAATAGCATTTGATTGTGTAGCTGAGAAAAAGACTGGAAAATACAAATTTATATTAAAAAAAAATTTAACTCATGCTTTGTTTGAGCTTTTCTTATTTTTTTCTTTGGCATGGAAATCCTTAAGTGTATGTTTTTGAATTAGAAGACACCCCCATCTTTTTTGTGCCTTTTATCTGTGGATGCGTCATTAAACCACAATTAAAATTAAATTACTAATAAATTACAAACACAAAAAACACTTAAAAGTGAAGGGGTGATGTGATGAGAAATATTGCATTGTGCTCCCAATCAGATACAGGTGGGAGAGAACATACTACTACAACATGTTTGTGCACCTTGTTTGCTGAATTTGGAGAAGAGGCTGAGGCTCGTGATGGACGGTCCGGTAAAGATGATGGCGTTCTTGCCTGAGATGTTCTGGCATAGCTGTTTGGCCACAAGGCTGTGGAGCTGAGGTTTGTTCTTCAGGGTGGCCAGACCATCTGTACCCTGTCCATCCTTAAGATGGACGGAGATCTGCAGTGTAGGCGGTAAAATAGGTACAAAAACAAACGTTATTCCACTTCTAAATTGAGCCCCATCGTGTTTAGATGGAGGTAACATGCAAAGTCCAAATCTAGGCTGTGGATATTCAGATTCTTTTGGTCATGCCCATCTGCTAACAAACACACACACACACACACACACACACACACACACACACACACACACACACACACACACACACACACACACACACACAATGACAATGTGACATCATAATGTACCAGCTAACATCATAGTGTACCTCTTGGTCAACAGCGGTGGCAATTTTAAATTTAAATGCAGCGCAGTTTTTACCTGAAGACGGCACAACACTGACAGTTTTAAGCAGTTTTAAGATGCACTAAAGTGCCAAACTATTGACCGCATGTGTCTACAGCACGATTAGACACTCGTTTATATAGTTTATCAGCAAAAAAAAGTTGATTTGGGGGTGACTTGCTCTTTAAAGAGGATGCAAATGAAGACACAACTGGCCAGATCCCACTGTGGATACTTTCTGCTTTGTTGACCCAGAAACAGGTTTTGGAAAAAAAAAAAAAAGTCACAAAGATTTTTCCAGTATCTTTCAAAGTTAAATTGAACAGACTTGCACTTTGATTTCAAATGATTAAATGCAAATGTAACATATTTTCTGGAGTTGGTTCAGCCACATTTAGGCAAATATAATCTTTATAATTTCATTACTTTTTCACCAGTTTTAAATCTCTGGAGGCAAAACTCAGACATTGGTTTCCTCTTCAATTGCATATTGGGGAAGTACGAGTATTTCCATTTAATATCTTGCTCTGAGTGATGCTCATAATTTTTAGAGAATCAAAATAGAAAAACAAAATAGTTTCTGAATCCACGTCCCTACTGGGAGCCGTGAACATTCACAGGATCAGAGTGTGCTGAGACATGATGCTTTGCACAACGTGCCAAGTCTTAAAAGCAACACAATGCTACAATCAGCAATGAGAGCCAATATTAAGCATGCCAAAAAAGTTTGCAAACAGTTCTATGAAACTTTTGCACTTTCAGTTGGGTTGAAAGGCAGTAGCCTGATCAGCTGGGGTCTACTTTAGTCTTGCAGCTGTTTGAATAAAGTGTGTTATCACACCTTTGTGTATTCATGTGTGTATCCACTGGCTAATGGAAATGCATCGATTTGTTTCACTAATTCATTTTATTTCCTTGCCCCCCCCCCCCCCCCCGACACACTTCATTTAGGAAGAGAATATATCAGTGGAGACATAAGTTGGTGTGCAGACTGTCTGCTAAATGGCTGCAGTCAAGTTAAATGGATGGGAAAATACAAAATGACTCCAATGACCAAGCATTTATGCTTTCTGCACAATACTCCTTTATTTACACATAAAAGACGCAAGATTACAAGGAGTATGGTGCATTGATGAACTAATCTATTTATTTTCTATTCATCAAAAAAACTGTCAAATTAAAATTCTATTTCTATTTGCTACTCACCCTTGTTAATGCCATTCTGGCCTGCCTCCAGTTAAAAAAAAAATTGAAACCCTCCTCTTGTACTATCTGTGTCCCTCAGTCCTTCAGAGGCACTTCTCTAATTGCTCCCAAAGTCTGGCGATGGTTTTATTCTTGGGCAGGTCATTCTCAAATAAAGTTCTCCAGTTGAGAAATATTAGTTCAGTTAAAAGCCATGAATATGAGTTTGTTTTATGCTGTGCTACTACAGTTTTTCACAGCGTTAGTAACAGGGTACAAAGTGTGAAGCTGTGACATCAGACACTGTTATCTTCTTTCTCCAGGTGTCTCTGCCTGTCCTCCTACCTTCGTCACTCTCTTTTTCTGCTCTGTCTCTCTCTTTCCGAGTGTGCATGCCCTGTTCACTTTGGTTTAGCCCTTCAAGTTTGTACATTTTTCCAGGTCATTGTTTTAGATGAAAGTTGTCAAATAGCCAATTAAAAGATTGGCTTTTCACAGAAAAACACAATTCCCTCATCTTGATTGCTTATACTTTAGAGATGTTGTAAGCATACAATGTTTAGATAATTTTAGTTATGTTCTTTTTTGTAATCCATTGAAATCTAGAAGTGACCTTTTTTCTCTCTTATTTTCGCCAAAAGCAGAGAAACATGGTACTGAAGTCTATCATCTCGAGATGCAAATAACTGGTTATATAACTAAAACTGACTTTGCTATCATTAATTATTTAATAATGTGTTGTTGGCTACTAAATTCGGTGACATTTAGCTGTTTTCCTTTAAAAAGCACTGCAATTTCCAGAAATTAGTCACAGCTGCAGAAACTCCCTGCAGCATTCAAAAGTGAATCATAGAGTAATGGGGAAAAATGTGTTGCTTTAATGTCACACATCATTTTCGTATCATGCAAAGAGCCAACTGTATTTCTGTCTTCAACTGGTGAAGCAATGGCAGCAGGAACCTCTATATACAGCATGTGAAGAAGGGAAACCAGTAAAAGCAACGTGACTCACAGGTGTCACGTTGTTTTACGCTAGCTACCGCTAGCTGCACACATCAAATTCAAATCACTAGCATTGTGATACAAAGTTCTGTTTGGTACAGCTCCCATCTATCTGAATCCTCTTGCAAATGCTTACGTCACAGCCCGGCTGCTCCGGTCATCGTGGGAATGTCGGCTAGCAGTGCCTACGCCACGCTCAGGATAATCCAGACTCTTTTCATGTATGGAATGACCTACCAAGCACTACTAGAACAGAGGCTTCCTTGTCGATTTTCAAGAATCTCCTGTAGACCCTGTAATTAAGAAAACATCTTCTAAACTAGCACCCTCCCAGCACCTGTACCCCACTCAACTGCACACTTCATGTTCGCTTCCCTCTATGATTGATTATGCTGCCTCACTGCCACACAGGATTGACCAAATAGTGTTTGTTGTTAGCCTCAAGGGTAACCTGCTGGCTTGATTATCACCTGTAAGTCGCTTTGGACAAAAGTGTCTGCTAAAAACATAGACATAAACATTAACATAAACAATACTGGAGGCCAAACACACGACTTTGAGGTACTCCTGATGCCTGTTGTTTTTTTTTAAAGGAAAAAATATGAGCTGATGAACAACAAAAGGTGTTTGATGTACATGCTGACTCTAAATCCAACTAATCATCTTCGGCATGTGCTGAAAAGTCACAATTGGACTAATTGGACTTAATAAATGATGAATTTTCAAAAATATTTTTGCTACCAACGACATTTACTTCTAAATGCTAAATTAATTTATCTGCAATAAAAACACAATTTCAACTAAAACTATTCTCTTTCTTAACATTCGTTTCGATGTCTCACTATGGGATACGCCCCTCCGCGGATTCCTCAGAAGCACTTATCTCAATACGCCAATCCTGATTGGCCAGTGACGGTGACGTACGCGTCCCCTGCTACTATAAGTAGCAAGCGTCCCAACGCACGCACTATTCAATCACCTCTTCTTGCTTCGGTGGTCGCTTATCTCTAAGGTAAGTTAGCTCAACTGTTCACAGACGGAGCCAGCTAATATTCTCTCCGTCGCCGAGCGTTAACTTACTGTCCTTCTGTCCTGACCTTCACCATAGGCTCGGGGCATAACGAGCAGCTTCACACTCCAGTGCACCTGTTCGTTCTCTTGCTAACACACCAGTTAGCCCACATGGAAGCCGCTCCTCCCACCAGAGGAGTCGACGGCGCAGGAGCTCGCCTCTGTATCTGTGGGAACAAAATCTCGAGCAAAGACCAGCACAAGGTCTGCTCAAGCTGCCTCGGGCTGGAACACGCTCAGCTGGCATTGGAAGTCCCTGGGTCATGTGAGAGCTGTGCTTGCTTCACCCTGAAGAGCCTTCGCCGGCGGCTAGCGGCACAAGCTAGCCTGTTGGGGAAGGACCCTTGCCTGCCGGCCCCTGGGCCACCGCCTGGGGACGCCAGCGAACATGCCCTCCCGGAGCCGGAACCGTGTGCCAAACTCAGCTGGGGCTCACAGCTCGAACTGGCCGGTCCGAGCCACCCCGTCGAGGACGTGTTGGAGTTGGGACTACGGAGACGACGAGGACACCTCGGAACTCCTCATTTCAGAGGAGGACGAGGATGACGACGTTTTTCTCCCCATCGCTCAGGCCTCCATGCCTAGCTTTCCGTCCTCTCCCAGGGATGGAGCGGCTTCTCCGGCCGCCCACCTGGACATGCAGTCAGTCTACCGACGCGTTGCGACCAGGCTCAACATCCCTTGGCCGACCGTGGTCACTGAGGCTGTCAGATCCCGCTACGAGGGAAAGAAGCTGCCTCAGGCCACAGGGGCGGCAAAGCCTCTCCTTCCCGCCTTCCCGGAGCTTCTCCAAGAAGTGAGGTCCTCCTGGGACAAACACCCTTTCAGCTCCAGGTCTCCTGTCCAAGGAGCCTCCTCGCTGGACTTCGAGGGGATGGAGGAGGCTGGCATGCTTCACATGCCGCCAATGGAACCACTGGTTGCAGCCCACCAGCACCCACGGCTCTCGGCAACTTCCTCCAGGCCTCCCCCTGCAAAGGCGGACCGCTTCCAGTCGGCGCTGAACGAGAGGGCGTACAAGGCTGCCGCCATCTCGGTCCGAGCTTTGAATGTCTCCTCCATACTCTCGGCGTACCAAGCCGAGCTCTGTGAGGACATGAATACGAAGCCGGACCTGGAGGTGTGGGAGGAAATCACCGTACTGACCGACATCTGCCTGCGTGTGCAGCGCTGCGCGGTCCAGGCTACGGCTAAAGCTACGGGCATGATAGTGCTTCAAGAACGTGCACGATGGCTGAACCTCGCCAACCTCTCTGATAGAGAGAAGGAGGACATTTTGGACATGCCAATCGTGCCTGAAGGCATTTTTGGCTCTGCCCTGGCATCAATGCAGCAACGGTGTGAGGCCAAAAAGAAAGAGGATGAAGCCCTTCATCTCTGTCTTCCCTGTAAGTCCTCACCGGTGCTGCCGGCTCGGCCGAACCTGCCTCAGGCAGCTGCCCGAGCCCAGCCTC